ACTTGATGAGCTTAAAGGGCTTTTCCAGTCAATTCTGTGATTCTTCAGCTGCACTGTGGAGCAGCAGCTCGGCTGTAACGTCAGTGCTGGTTTCTGACCAACCTGACTGTTGTTAAACATCTCTCTGAATCATTAGTACTAACGAGGTTATCATCATTTATCTAAGGCATCCACAGAGCTGTTGTGGTTCTTGTTCCTTAAGGAAAAAGTGTGTGTGTGGGGGGGAAAAATCACTTCTCTGTGTTAATGTGTTGTGATTTATGTATAGACATCTGAAATGTGCTTTGGCAGCTTTACAGCAAGATTTTTAGTTTCATGGATATAGTTGCTCAAAATTTCACTTGGGAGTTGAAGGTAAAGTTAGTGTGATAAGAAAGCTAATGTTTGTGGAAAAAAAAATAACTGTAGAAGTGCATAACCAAATCATGGTAATGTTTTTTGGAGGGTGACTCACTTTTGTTGATGACTTCTGTTAAATCATAGAATTGTTTAGGTTAGAAAAGACCCTTAAGATCATTGAGCCCAACTATTAACCTAACACTACCAAGTCCACCGAATGATTTAAATTATTTTTGTATTTATAATTTATATTTATTAATAGATTTTAAATATTTATTAATAATTTTTTTTTTTATTCTAAATTATGTCATTTTAATGCTGATCCTTAGTGGAGGAGAATCAGGGGCTGCAGATTAGAGAGACAAGCGATTTTTCCCTGTGAGGAAGGGATATCATGAAGGGTTCTCTCTTAGGGGTCCATTCTCCAAAGCTTCCCATGCAGATACAAGGCCTGGGTCACACTGTTTATAGCTGGAGTGGACATAAATTCTGTGTTAATCCTAGAGCAGTGGCCAAGAAACAGGCCTGAGTTTCCAGGCTCCCCTCATGCTCCACCAGCAGCCTGTGTCTCACTTCAGTACTTCACTCGGTTCCTTATGGACTGTGTTTCACCACCCTGGAAACCTCCCCTGGTGTCTTTAGAAGCGTGTGAAACCCAGTTTATGGGCCTGTGGTTGGTCTGCATGCCCTTGCAGGGGGAAGAGTTGCACACAGGACTGTATTTCACTGTGTTTTATAGCAGATTATAGATGGGTTAGAGACCTGTGACTATAAATATAAAATCGTTATGTTTCATTTTAGTCTAGAAAGCATACCAAACTGATAAATATGTCCAAAGTTTGTGTGTACCCCTCTTCTATGTCATTATTCGGGTGGAAGGCAGAGAAGAGTTGACAGCTATTTATAAAAAAACCCCAAGCTTCACAAAGAGCATCTTCCATCCCTACTTTTCATTCATGTTTGCTATAAAACTAGGTTTGTTTTAAAGTCCAGAGCAGGTGTATTGTTTGTTTTGGTGTGTTTTCCAGCTTTCTTCTGTTGCTGATCGAAGAAACCATCTTCCTGTTTTCCTTTATGACTTTCTGCTTGTAAAGATTCTCAGGTTTTCTTATGGTTCTGTGCTTGATAACCATTTCTTCTTGTTTCCCCAGAATTAAAAGGAATAGGTTTCCATTTCCCCCTTGTCCAACACCTGAAGGCATTTTAGTTCTCGGGAGGCACAGAGCTCTAAGCCCCCACCTCTTCACTTCTTATATAAGTATTTTTTCTAGCTCCTGGACTGGAGGATGTTCCCTGCAATAAATACAGTGGTGATGAATGAGGAAGCTGTAAGCTCTCTGTGACAAGGAGTGCTCACAAGCCAGTATGCAATCAGGAACAATGTGAAGGTGGTTTGTGGTCACTGAATCCAGGATGACACCAGCATCCTGACTCAGAACCAGTAGGTGCATCGCCATACCTTGTGTGCTGTCCTGAAGTTAGCATGTGATGGAAATAGCTCGTTGTGTATCAACAGGGATTCTGATGGTTCAGTCAATAAATGCTTCAGTGGTAAGAGGATGGAAACTTTGCCCAGGAGTGTAAGAAAGAAGGATTAATTGGTCTCTGAGGATGCTTTTACTCAATTGAAACCACACAAACAAGAATGGCTTTTTAACAGCCTTTCCTGAGCTCTTAAGATTTCTTTGGGGACATGCTGTATAATTCCTAGCTTCTACACTAGCATGCCATAGGTAAAAATAAGGTGGTTAACTTAATGGGTTTTATTAAACAGTAATGTCCTCTTGTATAGCACAGACTATCTTGAACTTCTCTTATTTTCCTTAAGGTGAGAAACTGATAGGAAGAGACAAGCTGGTGACTTTGAGAGGTTGCAGTGGAAGCGAGTTGTGTGGATTATGTCTGAGGAGGAGGACTTAAGTGTTTGTACCATGGAACTGGAAAAGAATAGAAATGTTAAAATCAAAAGGAGATGTTTCAGTCAGACGTCCCATCTTTGTTCTTATTCTGAGGAAGCTGAGCACACGCTGATCAGAGATGTGGCAGCAGGAGCTAACCCCTCTGCTTTTGGCCAGGCACATTCTCTCAATGTGTCAGAATTAAAGCTGTCAGAGGAAAGCTTACCTTATTTAAGTTCATATTTAGCTGCAGATATTGAAATGTATAATGAAAAGAGAATGAGAATTTGCTGCGCAGAGGTAGATGAAAGCAAGAAAGAAGCTGATACGTTGGGAAGGACACGCAACGATACGCACTTTAATTGCAGCGTGTGTGATGATTGCAGACAAAGCCATTTAGGTGAAGATTCACAGCTGGAGTATCTCAGTGCTCATGGGCAAGATTTTGATTATAGGAATAGCTCAAGTGAGTTTTCTGAGCAAAAGAAAACTAAGGGAATCAAAACCTTAAAGCTGATAAATCCAGTTCATGAAGTTCCAGGAGGTGGTGTCGCAAAGGAACAAAATCTCCTGGACATGTCAGCAGATTGTTCTCTTGCTTCTGAGTGTGGCACAAGTGACCAGTCCTGCCCAGAAGCAGCTATGCCAGAGTTTCTCCCCCTGCTTCAGGACTCCCTGTCTCTGACATATTGCAGTGCCATGACTTGTGATCATCAGGAGGAGCAAACAGAGTATCATAGTGGTGTATACTGGCAGCATACTGGAAGTATACTTGAAAGTAATTCTTGGGGGAGTAAAGAAAGTGTCTATCCAAATCTGCTCATATGTGATGTGTTAGAACATGGAGAGATGAAAGACATCACGCTGACTGATGGCACGCTGCCGCCCCAAACAGCTACGAGTGGAGAAGTGTCTGAAAAGAGCGACAGAGACAGTCACAGCATCTCAGTGAAGCAAGACAATCCTTTACTGTCACCACGGGAGAGGGCTCCTGCAGCAGCCATGCAACGCTGCCAACGTGCAGAGGACTCTGATTTCTACAGTTGTGAAGAATCTGGTGTGTGCACACGTAGTGCTGCCTCCGCTGGCCGCACTGTGAAGGATGCTGAAGCCCAATTTTCAGTCTCTACAACTCCCACTAGTGAGAATCCCTTTTTTGAGGTGGAAGCTGCAGATAAATCCTCCTGTGGAAATAGCAGCTGCCTGAATTTGGAGTTGGAGCATCGTGAAAACTTGGAAAAAGTTACCAGTGACTCTACGGTTAATCAGGCTGTTGATGCGAGTTCTGATTTTAGAGCCTGTTTTACAACAAGCAGAAGTACCAGCGCCCAGGTTTGTCTCTCATCCAGGGCTATTAATACCGAGATAACAATGATGAACAAATCCCGACCCGTGGGATGGTGCCGTGAAACCTGTGCAGACGCTGCTTGCAATACAGACTGGTCGTGGGGAGCTGGTAGGACAGAGGAAATGTGGTCACAGCTTACTAACACACTGCAAGAACACTCAGGTGGCAGTACAGCAACAGCTGAAAGGAGTTCTCAAATTAAGGTAATTTACAAAAAACCAAAACAAAACCACAATTTTCATGTATAGAACTTTTTTTACCTAAAGTAGCTCAGAATTTGCCTATATAAAGGTTGATCTAACTTTCTTTTAATGTTGTGTGTTTAGGAACAGCAGGAAAAAAGGAATCAACACATGAGTTGTGTAGCAGCGATTTAAAGATAAGCACTGACAGGTGAGTCATGAATTGTTCCTGGTTTGGAATTTTAAATGCTACCTGAGACTTTTTTCATTACTGAAATGTTGTCTGTGACTTGGTAAAACTGATGATGCTAAAAGATTGCTGGGCAGCAGCTCCTACACTGGAGGGTAGGGCTGCCTTTCAGAGAGACCTGGACAAGTGAGAAGAAGGAGCTGAAGACCTCCGGAAGTTGAACAAAGACCAAAGCAGCCTTGGTCTGCAGTTGCAGACTGGCCAAGAAGGAGGAGAGTGTAAGTCAGCAGTGCTCCCATATGGCAGAGAAGGGAAACCACATCCTGGGGCTGCATTAGCAAGAGTGCAGCTGGTGGGTGGAGGGAAGTGCTGAGTCTTCTCAGTTTGATGCTTGTGAGGTTGCTTCTGGAAAGTATCTCCAGCTGTGGGCCTTGTAGTGCAAGAAGGAGACTGGCAGGCTGGGGCAAGCCCATCAGAGGAGCATGGAGACGGTGAGAGGAGCTGGTGGAACTGGGCTTGGTCAGCCTGGAGAAGGGAAGGCTGGGGAGGTGGGGAACCTCCCTGCAGTTCTTACCAATCTGGTGGTGGGTTGCAAAGAAGACAGAGTTAAATTCTTTGCAGAGGTGTGTTTTGAAGGGGTAAAAGCCAGTAGTTAAAGCAGGGGGAATTCTAAGTGGGTGTAAGAAAAATTGGGTGTAAGACAGTATTAGTCCTGTCTCCTTTCTTGGAGATTTAAAACAAACCAGCAAACAAAAACAAACCCAGCAACAAAGCTGGACTGGCTAGGACCCCCAGCTAATTTTGAAGTTAGCCCTGCTTTGAACAAAGGTTTGTATTGTAGAGCTCCAGAGATCGTTTCTAACCTAAATGAGTCTGTGACTGTGGAAACAAAATAAATGTGTCTGTAGATAAACAGAGTTGCTAAGTTTCTTTTTGCTCTTTTTGGATAAAAATGGTTAAGGCTGATTATAATGTGAAAGTTACTGTAAGGCATCATTTTTTCTGTGTAGTAAACAGGAGAAATTGATTTAATTTTTCTTTTCTTTTGTATTTCCTGAAATCATATCAGAAATATCTTCTTGAAAGCTACTTGTTTCAAAATAAAACATGACGAATGTAAAATATTGATTCAAGGGCTTCAAAATTTTCTTTATTATTATTATTTTAAAGGCCATTGGACCTTGACAAACAAGCTGTGAAGAATTCTGCATCAAGCTACTGTCAGAAATTACTGCAGAGAGCAATTGAAGCAGAATTGCAGATCTTAAACGCTCATTATCAGATGTGCTATCAGCACTGCTTGAAGATTTACAAGCTGGCTTTGGAGGAAAACATGTGTTTTAGCAGGCATGTACTTTAATGTCCTTTTCAATGAAATAGATAAATTGCTAAATATTACCGATGTAGCCTCTGCATGGCTCGTAATAGTGTTTATAGTCAGTGCTGTTATCCAAAAGAGTTTGTGTTCTCCTAACTGCCAAGTCTTACTTTCAGCCTGAAATCTTCACAGTCCCAGCAAAAACCAGTTTGTTTCCAGGAAAGTGTTTCTGTACAAGGAGGAATAGTGCAGAGAATCTGTTCAGGAGTGGATGAGATGCATAGAGGGGGAACTGGGGGGGAGATGGTAGAGGAGAAAGAGAGAGGAGGTGCAGGATTATTAGGAGGTGAGGCAGGAAAAGAGTGGTGATTGCAGAGTCTTTAGCTAATAAATCATACACCCTGTTAACAAACCTGGAATTCGACCAAGTCCTGCCTGTGAATGCTTTACTGCTCTTTTCCACGGAGAGCTGGAAAACCTCATTACCGTGGGGTCTGCTCCAGAGCTCAGGAGGGGGTTTGAGAGAGCACCTAGGAGTGCTGTGAAACAGGACAGCTCCAGAGAGCTACAGTGCACCTTAGGAGTGAGCTCCTCTTCTTACAGGATCTCTAAACACTCTAAAATGTTTGGGAAATTCTGGAAGCAATAAAATAAATGAAATGTCTGAGTTGATCTTGTTTTCTTATACATATTTGAACAGATATAATGGAAATAATGAATTGCGTTCATCTCTCCTGTTGGCTTTGGAAGAGCTAAAAAAGCATTACATCCGTATGAGAATGAAAATTAAAATGGGTGTACCTCTAAGTGCACTTCCACCGCTGTCCGTTGAGATGAAGTTGTTCCAAATCTCTTCTTCTTATGTCCCGTGCAAGGTAATTTCTTAATTGCTTTTTTTTTTTTTACTATAAATTGTTTTCTTCAGAAAATTAAGACAAATCTGTTCTTTTTTGACAGTTGTTCAGAGAGGATCTTTGCTATGAGTAAGTAGTCCTCATTTGTGGTATGTATTAAAGTTCATAATAAATGAGAAGTGAGTTTAAAAGGAGTTGAATGTAGAATTTCTTTATTTCAGGAGGTATCTTGTTGCTCCAGACTGTTTAGCTGGAAGGCTAGCATAGCACTTTGAGTACAGTGATTTTATTGAAAGGAATTTTTTATTCTCTAGTGTTCTAATATGAAAGCTATAGAGTTGTATTTTTACTGTCTTTATAGCAAAAGTTTTCAGTTTACAAGTAAATTTCCTAGTTCCCTGTGTTCACGACTAAAAATCTTTGTCTCTAATCTTAAGCTATCTGTCTTAAAGCAACCAAAGAACCCACCAAAACAAAGAGACTTTGCTACCAACAAAGATAATATATTAGGCATATAAGCAGGTGTTCTGCTAAGATTATCCTTAAATTATGAAGAATGATAGAAAAATCACTGCATATTTCAGGCAGACATGTGGTACTGCATGTTCAAGAACCATGTCCAGTTACTTTACGTAAGTGGAGACTGAAACAAATTTGGCAATAAGTTTTTACTGTATCAGGTAAACAACTAGAGATCTTTTTCACATTTTTTTCTTAAGCATTAATAAAATTAATGAAGAAGAGATTTCAAATTGTAAAGACAAATATCAAAACATCAGACAGCAAGCTATCAAAGTGTAAAGGGAAAACAGCCTAACGTAAACCTAGAATATGTTTCAGGTTGCAACCAATGTTTTTATAAAATGCAGGTATCAAAAGAAACTTTGGTTCTCGTTTCAAGCAAAGATTTTATTGAGCATACTTTGTTTATTTTACAGTGAGCTTTTGTAAATATTTAAATTAATATTTCAGAGTACTCGGTATCATTGTAAAATTTAAAATTGTGCCATATTTTATATGAAATTCTTGGATCTGTTTTAGTTCTGTTTCAAGTGCGAGAAAAGCTGACTTTGAAGCACCAAAACTGCAAGAAAGGAAAACTTCTGTCAACATGGTAGGGACTTCTTCACTACTGACTTTCATAGACATTGATGTTGTGGAGTATAGTGTCCTTTTAGATAGAGGCAAATACACTCATGGTCATCAGGGCTCAAGCTGGCATTCTCTGCCAGTCATAGCAAATGCAGCTGATACAGCTAGAATTTTGATAATCCTCTCAAAATAAAGTAACTTGGGGGTTCTTGAAGGCAATCAGTAGGTTAACTTTTTTAAATTTACCTGTTTAATCAATTAATATTCTGAAGCTTGGAAAAATAATGTAGAATTGGGTGCAAGTGCTGTGACATAACTGAAACATGTTTGTAGGACAATCCCCAGACTGTCTGTTTCACTGATCACGGTCAGCCAAGTGACTCTATTTCCTCCAAGATAGTTGAAGAACAACATGAAGATCAGGATTTGGAACATGGTGAGTGATCTGCTTCTAGTACAAATACCACATTGTTTGTTAGTTAAGTTACTGGAAAAAAACCCAAACCCAACCCTGTGTAAAACATACCTGTGGATACTCTATTGCACTTTCTGTGGTCATAGAATCATAGAATGGTTTGGATTGGAAGGGACCTTAAAGCTCATCCAGTCCCACCCCCCCTGCCAGCAGCAGGGACACCTTCCACTAGACCAGGTTGCTCAAAGCCTCATCCAGCCTGGCCTTGAACACTTCCAGGGAGGAGCAGCCACAGCTTCTCTGGGCAGCCTGGTACGCTGTCTCACCACCCTCACAGTGAGGAACTTCTTCCTAATATCTCATCTAAACCTCCCCTCTTTCAGCTTAAACCCATTTCCCCTTGTTTTGTCATTAGCTGGCCTTATGAAAAGTCCTTCCCCAGCTTTCTTGTAGGTCCCCTTCAGGTACTGGGAGGCTGCTGTAAGATCTCCCCAGAGCCTTCTCTTCTCCAGGCTGAACAATGATGGAATGCTTAACATTCTATCAGCTCTATATTATACTATATTATACTATACATCTTGAAAAAAAAAATTTGCTACTTAAGATTTAAGTGAAAACTAGTATGTGTCATCTCTTTCTAATGTAGTACCAAGTCATGTAGGTAGCTGGAATACTCTTAAGCACACAGAAATTTGATAATCATTCATATGACATACCTCAGTCTGAATTTTAACACTCTGAAATTTATTTCAACTGTCGAGGCTGTGTAGAAAATGAAGAAGGGAATGAATGTTGGTTTGATGCTAAAGAGGATTTGACAGTAGCAGATTTTTCAGTAATATCTGAAGAAACAAAAAAGCAACAAGAAAAACAAGACGCAGTTGAGTTAAGAGGTGAGGCCGTGTGCTTTAAGCTGCCATACCTAGTAACACTGTTCGTTTATTATTGGAGTGTTCTGTTCCTTTTACAGGCATCAGTAAACTTGGAAAAAATGCCAGCTGGGTTTTCAGACTTATTTTTTTATTGACTTGCAGTGAATGCTTGCACAGATATTCAGCTCCTTTCATCCATATTTTTCCTTGAAAACTTTACCTACAGTGGTTAAACTCAATTTAGTAAATGTCTGGCCCATCATGTAGCTGGAAATCTTTCTTTTTTTTTTTTTTTTTCTCTTCCTGCTCTTTCTGCTTCCTTCCTCATACTGGCTTCTTAAGAGTTAGCTGGGAATGGTGTGTGTTTGGAGACGGGGATCCCAGTATGTTGAAAGCAGAGAGCTGGTATGCTCCGTGGTGGGAAGTTGGAGAGCGCTGCCCCCTGCTTTAGCACTGGTACCTGTCAGTGCAGACCAGTGTTTTATCTGGTTGTATCTCTTCTGCCTCTTCAAACCTCAGGAAATACTCAGGGAAAAGAGATTTCACAAATTCATAGAATCCCAGACTGGTTTGGGTTGGAAGGGACCTTAAAGATCATCCAGTTCCAGCCCCCCTGCCAGCAGCAGGGACACCTTCCACTAGACCAGGTTGCTCAAAGCCTCATCCAGCCTGGCCTTCAACACTTCCAGGGAGGAGCAGCCACAGCTTCTCTGGGCAGCCTGGGACACTGTCTCACCACCCTCACAGCAAAGAATTTCTTCCTAATATCTCATCTAAACCTCCCCTCTTTCAGTTTAAACCCATTTCCCCTTGTTTTGTCATTAACTGCCCTTATGAAAAGTCCCTCCCCAGCTTTCCTGTAGGCCCTTCAGGTACTGGGAGGCCGCTATAAGATCTCCCTGAAGCCTGTTCTGGGGAGTATTGAACTGTTCTCTGTTCTGCTTCTCAGGACACTCAGTTTTTGTTAGAAGATACTCATAATTCTTTTAGATTTTTTTAAAGGTTTTCTATCTAGGCTTTCTGAAATCTACAGAGAAGATATATATAGATAGATATAGATATATATAGCTTGAACTGAAACAAGAATACTAATAGTTTGCTTTCTTATGTTTATCATTAGAAGGGAAGATAATGGAGAATGGAAACAAGTGTTCTTTTATTCTCGTGGGTGGCCTTAGTTCCTCAGTGTCAGAGGTATGCCTGTTCGTATTTTACATAGTAGCAGTAGTACTGTCTTGTCTCTTGTGAATCCTTCCATACTACACATTTGCAACCAAATATTCTTCTATTTTGTAGGATGATTTAAGATCACATTTCCAGAAGTATCAGATTTCTGACGTTCTTATCTCTGTGGATTCTGGTAACTACAGGTATATTAATATATTTTACTAGTTTCAGATTTTTTTTCTGTCAAAGTAAGCAAATCATGGGGAGAGAGGAGGGAGCTGTTGATTAATTTGTTTTACCAATTAATGTAGATACAGATAGGTTGACAAAAACTTGTCATTCCAGACAGCTTCTTACCTTACGAGAAGTTAAGGAGTCTGAAATTGAGTATTAAACAGAGTATTAAACTCTGAGTTTAATGGAGATACAGTTAATAATCAAAAGATGAGAACCCTCGTCTTCTAACTGATAGTAATTTGTTTTTCTTTTTAATTTTATGCCTTAGATATGCATTTATTTCCTTTAAAGACACTGATAAAGCAAAGTTAGCTGTAGAGGAAATGAACCACAAACAAATAAAAGGAAAACCAGTAAGAGTTGAACTTGTAAATACTTCACCAAAGAATAAATATCTGGTTTCCCAAGTATTTAAAAAGAAGTTTTGGCATGAAATCCAACCTGCTGATAACAGTCAAAGAAATGATGGAGATGATAGAACACTCACTTCAGCCTCCAGTTCTGTGAAAGCACCTGACACCGCCTCTGCTTCAGAGAAAGCACATCTCGTTCCCTTAACTTCTTCAAAAATTCCTTGCTCTACACGAGTACCTTCAGAAACAAAGTGCCCTGATCTGAAATCATCTGCGGGAGGTTCAATACATCATTTGCTTGGAGTTAATCAAAAGGTAAATAATTATTACGAATGCTCCTTCCTTACTGGCAGATTGAGAGCCTTAAAATTTCTTGTCCCATAAGATGATCCATTTAATATATAGAGAATGATGTTGGGATAGGAAGGCATTTTATGTGTTAGTAATAAATTTCTGGCATGCTGCAGAAGAGAGAGAGAGAGCATCATTCATTTGCCCCTGAATCAAACTGTGATACTTCCATATTTTTTCCTTAATCCTAAGTCAGTTGGGAGCCTAGCCATTTGCACTGGATTCTTCATCTTGCTTTTCTCCTCTTTTGAGTTTCCACTCTTAATGCTTCTTTTTTATGTGAATGTCTTGTGATTTTTATACAGAAAAGATTTGAGGATACTGGAGGGGAATCTCTTGGGTTTTTTAATATAAATGTAAGAAACATCTATGTGTAAATCTAGTCTTTTGCATTTGCTCAGACTGATCCTTGGAGCATAAGGCAAAGTTAGTAATTGCTGGTGTTGCCCTCAGAAACTATACAGATATGCTGCCTTTGGGGATTTAACCTTAAACTTGCTAGTCTTCTGGGAGACACAAATATGATCTAATTTAAAGTAGCAGGACTGTCAGTTACACATAAATGCCTGTAGTAGTTTTAATTTTAATTTACAGATTGGATAATATGGTTTTATTAGAAAAACTTTTTGATCTGAATTGGTATCTGTCATTTTTCCTTTTTCTCTAACAGGAGTATTTATTAGCAGTAAAGAAATGTTGTATTACTTATACAACACTTAACTCATTCACTTTTTGCTTATTGTGGTGCAATTCTAGGATACTGGAGAAAATTTCCTGCAGAAAACATCTGCTCCTTTCTCCACTGATTTGTATGATGCCTTTATTTCTCCTCATACATTGAACTTGAGCAGCTTTACCAAATTAATGAAGAAACTTCAAGAAATTCATCCAGAGGCTAGCAGGTGAGAGTATTTGAATTTCATTTCTGCCCTGATTTGTCATGGATCCAGTATCCGTGGTAACTTAGTGTTAAATGTATTGCACAAAATGTAATGTAAACAGTTCTTTCTTTTATTCCTACAGAGACAAAATTGTGGATGCTCTGCTGCAGGTGAGGAAAACCAACAAAGGTGTCCTGAGTGGCTTGTCCATCAGTTCTATTGTGGAAAGGACCTCTGTCATCCTAAGGACATTGACACCCAGTTGTGGTCAGGAAAAGCAGTGTAAATAAGTGAGTATCCTGGCCTACAGAAATATACTGAAATAAAAGCGCTTGAATTTGTGTAGCAGATGAGCCTGACTACATTAGTATATTACATAGTATAAAGCTCTGCAAGAAGGACCTGCATGAATCCACGGAAACAATGGTTTCTAAGGATTGGCAGCTGTTTTGCAGAACATCTGGAAACAGGTTTGCTCGGTAGCTCTATGCACTCTATAAAACTTGGTATACTGGGGGTTTTATTACACAAACTGGTTTATTAACTTAGTGGAGACTGTCGAGCCATATTCTGGATGAAGATGACACCTAATGGCCAACCCTTGTGTAGCAGTTCATAAAGAAATTCCAGCATAGGCTCAACTTTGGTTTAAAAATGGATGATTTCTGTCTGGTGTATGAGATGCAGTTCTGGACTAGAAATCTAACGGAGTAAGACTGTATGTTTGTTAGTTTTTTGTCATGTTAAAAGACATCTTGGATGATGACACAGCAGTGGCTGCTACAGGAAGCTGCAGTCAGCTGAACATGCTAAAAGCACAGCCCAAAATTCAAGGGGCTGTAGGCGACATCCTTGAGTTGGTGTTTGTTTCAGTCTCCTACTCAGCTTGGTGTTCTTCTTGCTTTAGGGCTGTCAGCAGTGCCACTATTAGGTTTCCCACTCTGTCCCATGTGTTCTTAGTAATGATCCAGCTTCACTTTTGACCACAAACACAGTCTGTATTATATGTATTATTCTTGTGTCCTGTTTCTTCCCCAAACTGCACCCAATTCTTAATGCTCTGATTTTTGGTATTAAAGCTCCTGTTTCAAGGATGTCAAGGAGTTGGTTTGGTTTTAATCAATACCTCCTATTCCAAGACGAGTAGTATTTATGCTGATGGTTTTCCATGTCTGAGTATCACGTTGCTTAGACTAAATTCTCCTGGTCAGGTGCATGTGCGTGTGTGACAGCAGTGCCCCAGTAAACTCTAAGACAGCCTTAACTTGAGAACAACTGTGTGTTATGTAGCAGAACTGTAACAGAAGTAGAGCGATTTTGCCCCATCAGACAAAGCAGAACCACGGGCTAGAAAAGTTTCCATAGGTGTATTAAATATACAAATCGTTGCTTATCGGCTGTTCATCTTGGTCCTTGTTCTGGGAAGTATCAGTGACTAGTAGAGTCCTTCAGAAAGACCAACTGTACATTGTGCTGAATACACAGAGACATAGGACATAGGGGTTTAAAATAATGCTTAAGATTGTACCTCCTCTAGTGATGAAGAGCATGAAAGAATCTCAACTAATATGCCAAGTGTTTGGCCAAGTTCCTTTTGAAAGGACTAGTGTAACTTCAGTTTGTTAGTTTGGCGTTTGACTGCCCCGTGAGCTTTTACAGATGCCTCTATGAATCAAAATAAAATTGAAAAAAAGAAAAGTCTTCATATTAATCTAGTGACCGACTTCCACAGGACTGCAGATATGGACATAAAAATAAATATTACACTTGAAAGTATGTTCAATCAGTAAGCTTTAACAGCCTCAAATGTGTTATGCTTTCCTTGTCAAGTGATTTGTTTAAATTATTTTTTTTAATGGCTTGTGGGCTTTACAGTAATAATTTTTCCTATGATAGTATTTTTTTCCCTGTTGCTTTACTAAAGAGATTATGACCTATAACCATTTTTACTTTCATCATGAGGGAGCTGTGAAGTAGCCAAGTCATTAGTAAGTAACAGGGAAAAAGAATTCTCATTTCCATAGTAAGAAACAAATCTGTAATATGTTTAAGAAAAGCTCCTCTATACTAATTCTGGTATCTGTAGCTTCAGTCTTCCCTGAAGGGTAAGTGTCCACTGGGAAATACCACCTCAGAGCCTTGTGTTCTAGCAAAGTGAGTCCAGAGTTGTACAGATAATACTTCCACATCAAGTCCTATTACATAGTATTTAATGTATAACAACTTAAATTCAGCTTTAAAGTAAAGCATGATATAATCTGGCTTTTTTCTTTGGCTGTTTTAGCCCAGAGTTGGACATGGGAATGTTTCTAGATCTTGTATATTTGTTGATTTTGAAGGAGTAACTTCACTAGAAATGGGTAGTTGCGTTTTGGACTGGAAAATCCTTTTACTCTCATTAGTGAGCGAACAGTGCACTTAACCTTTCCTTGTTTTCTAAACCTAGTGCTAGGCAGCAGTTAACAGGAAGCTGTTAAATCTGTTAAAAATGTCTGTTTCCTTAAATTTTAGCAGTACCCAGTGTCCATGCTTGAAAGCTTTCTGTGAAATGAATATTCTGCAGAGTAATAATTTAAAACCAGACCAATGGAGAGGGGTCTTAGTACAGTATAACTGAAACAGTCCTGTGAGAAACGCACAGGCTGTGTACTCCTAAGTGGTGATCTGATAACTTACTACTGAGTTAATTAAAAAGTACACACCAGATATGATTTGTTGTACAAAGATATTTTATTTTATTGTAGTAATTTCTTTCATGTGGCTCTTGAAGCGAGGAAACCTCACTCTTCTGTGTACTTCTGCAGTACGTAGCAAAATTACTATAGGTTTCAGTGATTTTCTGGGATATTAAAACTGCTGGTGTTCCTTTTATTTCAGTTTGTGTACACGCAAAATTTACCTGCTGTTTTGTTTTTTTTTCTTTTTTAAAGTAGATGGCTTTCCAATTACGAAGAGTCAGTCATCTCCCTTTGGAAGATTTTTGCAAATTCTATACTCCAGCTTGTTCCAGGACCGTACTGTGTTTCTTGTTTGATTTATTTCAGCAAATCTTAATGAAAACTCACTCAGCATCAGTTTGAGATGGGTTTTTTTCTGGTTTTGCAGATATTCAATGATTCTTCCCAGTTTTATTGTTCCCCATAGTCGGTTCAAATGTTTCAGGAGGTTTCTCTAAGGTAGAAAGATCAGAGTTCAGTGAAGCAAGACTTCTCTAATAGCAGCAGGGCTTTTCTCGGCTGAGGTACACAACCCCCAGTTCTTGCGTGCCACTTGATTTTAGGTGTGCTGATAGCTTCTAAAATGTTAATAAACAGCCAACACCCTTGTTCTTTCCAGATCACCCGATTCTGACTAGCCTGTAGAAATTCCTTGTATCCTCTGAATACCAGGGAGAAGCAGGGATGGCAGCAAGGGCTTCAGTTTAGAAAACCAGGCTTCTGAGCTGGCCACCGCCCTGTGCTGCCGCGGAGTCCTCTCCTGCCCAGTTTGACTCAAAGTGTGTTGCAGAAAGCAGAGCTGGGACATGGCCAAACGGTTCCTTCAGCATGAAGCCTGGATTTTAATTACGATGTTGTTGTCTCATATTCCACTTCTGCTGCAAGCGTAAGATGGGCTTCTCGATGCCTTTGGGTTTTTTTTGGTGTCCCATGGCCTAGTACAGTGGGAAGCACGTACTGCCTGAGACTTCTGGTTTGGGTTGATGGAGGAGGAGGAGGAAAGCTGAGTGTATCCAGTCTTTCATCTTTGTGTGTTTTTACTGTACAAAAGAGGTCTAGATTTTAAATCCTCTTCTGGTAAATGAAGGAAAGGCAGCTTAGGTGTACGTGCCTGGTCAGGGGGTGAGGAGAATTATCCTTGATTGCCACAGAGAGGCTCATGCTGTGATATTGCACGACAAGACAGTGCATCGCTGCTGTTCATCTCTTGTTTCTTTGTTCTACTTTGTTCTAGATCCCGGCTGCATTTGCCGCTGAAAACAGCAGCCTGACTTACTTGTAAATAAAGGTTCAAATTCCTCCTTCAAAAAGCTGTGCGGGTGTTTTGCTGTTTTCAGATCTCATCTGTCCCCTCTGCTCTTAGCAGAACCACTGCACGTAACACTTTGGGAGCCCCAGCTTTAACAGCCAGTACTGTAAACTGCAGGTGGGACCTCAACCTTTGGTTTCTTCCCAGTCCTATGAAGGTGAAAGCAGCTGCAGACTTTCCTCTACCACATTATTAACAGCAAATGCTGTGCTTCGTGTTCCCCAGACCTGATTCTGTAATCAGATGGGTGTTACTAATAGTTTAGAATGCTTTCTGGCATGCAAGCTGTTTTGTTTCAGTTGGGAAAGCAGAAAGAGGTATGATGTGAAACACTGAAGTTAGCACGCTGTGCTGTTCATTCAGCTTTTCATGGTCTTTGCTTTTTGAAAGGCAGAGCTAACTTAAAATGTGAGAGAAGCAGTTTGGGGGGTGCTGACCTCCCTGCAGCTGGAGCCCTCCCTCACCTGGGATGGATGATAGGTTCCTAATGGCATATCCCAATCCAACCTGTGCTCCTGAAGAGCCCAAGCGGGCAAGGTGAAAATTCAGCAGGTGGAGCTGTAACGATTATTTTTCCACTCGGTAAAAGAAAAAACCCACAAAATATTTTATTTTTCTCCTAAAATTGCATTCCATCCTCTGTAAAAAGGAAGGGAAGGGATGGGTTTTAGAGCAGTGCCCTCGGTGGCGATGGCAGGAGGGGTTTCTGTGTCTGTTCCCCTTCGCGTGTCCCTGGGCACCCACCCACCCGTCC